GACCACTTCTATGAGTGTCACGGCGGGCAGCGCGGGCAGGCGCGCGGCGGGCAGCGCGGGCGGGCAGCGGGCAGAGGCGGGATTTGAATTTTTTCGAATTAAACTTGACCCGGCAACCCGCCGGGTCAACCCGAACCCGACCCGTTTTTTGAAACGGGTCGATTTCTGGAACCCGAACCCGACCCATTTTGAAATCGGGTCGGGTTCAACCCGGATTTTCCGGGTCGGGTTTTCGTGTCGTGTCAAATATTGACACCCCTAATGCTCGTTCGCTTAGTGCTTATTGAGCTTCAAACAAACAAACATGAACGAGCTATAAACGAGCTCTACTTTTAAATGTTCATTAACTTAACAAACGAGCTTTATCGAGCTTCCTAACAAACGATTACATCGAGCATGTTCATGAACATATCTAACGATTTTTTTTTAACTATCAAACAAACGCGCTCATTAACATATCTATGAAAAAACACATTTATAATAAAAACAATTATCTATGTAATAAAGGTAATGACTTATAAGCAAATCACATCTTCTCCGAATTTTCCTAATAGCAGCATTAATAAAGGCAATGATTTATAAATAAATAGTCATATAAAGCTACAATTACTTAGACAATAAGTTAAGTAATATTTGATACCTGCCGCAATCACTGATCCAGTAACAGCTAGTGGCCACAAAAGGATTGCTCTTGCTTCTTGAGAGGTTTTTTTCGTGCTTTTTTTGTAAAAGAATTTTCTTGTTGGACATGTTATGTTACAACTGTTAGACTTGAAGATGACCCAAAACTAATTTGAACATCATGAACTCTCAATTCTTACTGCTTTGGTGAATTTTCAGACATACCTTTAAAAGAGAAGTCAATGATTATATTAAATATGAATCGTATTTGCTAATGCATATATTCAAGTTCAAAATCGAACACGAATCGAGCTTTTATCGAGCTTCTTATTGAGCTTAATGTCGAGCTTGTTCGCGAACTTCAAAAGATGTTGTTCACGAACATAAATGAGCCGAACGCATTAGTTTTCAAGCTTGTTTATTTAAGAATCGAGTATTTAAAATATTGTTCAAGTTTGTTTGTTTAGTTAATTAAATGATCACGAACGAGCTTTAAACGAACCGGACAACGAGTAGCCATCTTGATTTATCTATATAACCAATTAATGGTACTTGTCCAACCCTTGGAAACTCAACTAACAACTTTACATGGAATTTTTCCCTTACTCTAAAGGTCTTCATGCATATCTAGTGTTGCTAAGAATTATAGTGGAACATGTTTCGGGAGGTCTCTCCATACATCACTCTTCTCGGATTGAGAGTTCATCGATGAGAGAGAGAGACAAGGGAGAGAGGAAAAGAACAAAGAAATTTTTATGCGTGAATCGACCTGGCTCCGTCCGCGCCTCTAAGTCCCATATCCATGGCTAGTTTTCACTTCGATCTAAGGCCAAGAAAACATAGGTCGTGCGACACGCGCTTGTCTCTGCTCACAGGACACTACCTATCTGTCTGTCTTTATGCATGATATATGTGCGACTCGTCTCGACGTGCTCCAATTCGCACAGCCTGCTTCTTGCTTCTATGCGCGAATCCAACCTGCACTCGACCTTCCGTTTGCCTCACGTAAGCAAACTCGTGTGAGAACACTCGTCGGCGACACCGGCAATGACCACCTGCTCTCTTTCTTGATTACATGAACATCTTCCTCAAGATCGCCTCCACCAGACTTTGATACCACTTGTTAAAAATTATAGGGGAAGAAGAATGCTCTTCTCAAGATTTTTGGATGAGAGAGAGAGAGAGAGAGAGAGAGAGAGAGAGAGAGAGAGAGAGAGAGAGGGAGAGGAACACATGAATTTCTTATTTCATTATTCATTTGGGCTATTACCGGGGTCTCTCCATACATCACTCTATAAGCATTATATATAGATTTACATAGGTGAAATGTCTAACAAAGTAATACAAGAAAAACTGGACCAAATACTCTAACAAATGTAATTAAAAGGAAATAATTAACATATCAATTTTACGATTAATCTTTACTAGATTATTTATCATTTGATTTATATACATGCCTTTAATATAACATTTTTATAAAATTACGCCAATGCCCCCATCTACAGACATGAGGAGAGCAAGCATAAGAACCAAGGCTTACTATTTTGAGCCATCTGCTTTCTATTTGAGTTATCTATTTTCTAACAATAAAAGAACCATAGAACCCCCTCTCTCTCTCTCCCCCTCCCTCTCTCTCTCTCTCTCTCTCTCAGGGTATGCTTTTCTTAGGCAATATTAAGACTACGGGTTTATTTGGGATAGCTTTCTTACTGTTTCTTAAAGAAACTTTCTTGTTAAAAAATTAAAATATTTGTACTTGAAAGCTACTTTAAGAAGCAGTAAGAAAGCTGTCCCAAACGAAGACTAAATTTCAGGTGTCACTCGCATCCAATATTTACTTCTTTCTTATTGTTTTCTAAAACAGGATTTTAGTAAAAAAAATTTCAAGTTTTAAAAAAATTGTACTAAAAATATACTTAAAAAACAATTAAAAAATTGCCCCAAACTAAAGGCATAGTCTTATATACCTAACATTTTGCTCCCATCTTCCTGAGTACTCAACTTCAACAAAATGACAATCATTTGTATCCTTCTGTTGATTGGCAAATTATTACGTCCGGTCATCAGACGTCCGGACATCCAATCCAGATGTGTCACGTCATTCAAATATATTGGGACCCGATGTATTTTGATGACGTGGCGCATCTGGATTGATGTCCGGATGAATTCGGACACCGGACGAAATAATTTGCCATGCTGATTAAATGGGGAATTGACCTGCAGGCAATCATCTTCGGATGAACTTATGCAGTAATCTTCTTAGCTGCTTTAGCTTGCAACTTCTCGACATAAACGAATAGGCATCACCATTATTTTTTTTTTTTATTCAACTTTTTTATTATTTAGCTGATATGAATTTTAATCTCAATGTTTTTCCTTGCTTCAATGTAGTCATGGAAATTAGAGCCAAACGGGAAATGTCCTTCTCAAACCTCTCTATGCTGTGAAATTATTCTGTGCATGGTCCAGACTGGAAGTTTCTGTTCAGATTATGAGTGTACAGTATGTATAATTTGATTTTTTTATATATACAGTTTGATTATTTATACACAATATATATAAATACTGTGTACACTCACAGTCCGAACGGGAACTTCCCGTCCAGACTCCGCACAAAATAATTTGATAATTTCTCCTCTATCTTCAACCAAAGTTTTTTCTTCAAAGGATAACTTTAACTCATATAGCTTATTGGTACACCCATAAATCTCACTGAGGATAATAGAGAGCTCCTTTTCAACAGCCCTAAATGTATATTCTTTAATTAGCATGGATCAATTTTGGTGCCCATGTAATTGTTTCGTCAATATGTTCAATTTGATTATAAGTTTTACGAAATGATTTTTTTTTTTTTTGAAATATTTCAATCAAAATATGCATTAGGATTTATGTTGAATCGAATGAATATTTTAATGTATATCAATAGCCCCTTATATTTCGATGCGAGTTTATGCCATTAAAATAAATGTATTTGATTTTTTATTTTTTTTTAAGTCTCGCAACATGACATTGGAATTTCAAAAAAAAAAAAAAATTGGCTGATCCGGATTTTTACGGTGGTTCGGATCCTGGAAATGATTTTACCTTGGTGCGAGATAGACCTGCTGTTTCTCGTGGGGGCGGGAGATTTCGCGGAAGGGGCCGCCGGAGGGGGCGTAGTCGAAGATGATTTTTCTATGTTTCTTGCTTTCCTCTGCTTCTCTCTGTTTGATTTCTGAGGTTATAAAGGCTATGATGTGGCTGGGGCTCGTGTCCCTGTGGCCGAGCTAGTGGCAACCTTCGGTTTCGATTGGATGTGGGCGCTATTTTCACCGTATGGACGGTCCGTGCGAGGTTACAGGGAT